TCTTGACCACAAGCGATTTCTTATCCTACAAGGAGAGGTCGAGTCAATTGCGCAGATGAAAGCGAAGGCTGCCAATGAGCATGAGGACGGCCTGCTCGAATATCTCGAGGATATCATCGGAACGTCCAAGTACAAAACTCCCATCGAAGAATCTGCTACGGAAGTTGAGGCTCTCAACGAGATATGCATGGAGAAAAGCGGCCGGGTGCAACACGTAGAGAAAGAGAAAAATAGTCTCGAGGACAAGAAAAACAAGGCTCTCGCGTTCATCAGGGACGAGAACGATCTTGTTCTGAAACAGTCAGCCCTATACCAGCTGTACATCAGCGAATGCAACGATAATGTGGCCGTCACAGAGGAAGCAATCAGCCAGATGCAGGCTCAACTCGACGCTGAGCTTGAGAAACACCAAGGCAGCGAACAAATTATCAAGCAGCTCCAAAAGGCATATTCAAACAACAACAAGGAGTTTGAATCACAAGAGAAAGCCGTGCAAGCTCTTGTCAAGGAGGCATCCAAATTTGAACAGGAGAGAGTCAAATTCGACGAGAAGCGCAAATTCTTGACAGATAAACAGAAGAAACTTGAGAAAGCGATTTCGAATAATGAAAAGTCTGCGGTGGAAGCTGATGAGACCATGGAACAGTGCACCGAAGAAATAGCTTCTCGTGCCGAAGAGGTGACCGTTTTGGAACAACGTGTACAGGAAGGGGAAGCAGAGCTCGCCGAAACACGCGAAAGCCTCAAGGGCAAGACACAAGTTTTCTCAGACCAGATCGCTATCAAGCAGAAATCCCTCGAACCTTGGCAGGAGAAAATCAACCAGAAACAATCGGCTATTGCCGTTGCCGAGTCTGAGATGGCCATTCTGACAGAAAAGGCAAACGCAGGAGCCGTAGCAGAGGAGGAGCTGAAAGCCAAAATGGCAGCGATCAAAGACAGTCGCACGGCAAAATTGGCTGAGCTTGAGGAATGCCGAGCTGAGAAGGAGAAGCTTGAAGAGGAAGCAAAACAAGTCGAAGCCGAGATTGATAACTTTGCCAAGATGGAACCCCTCGTTCGTGAAAAGGTTTCGCGCGCAAGACAGAGAGCAGACGAGGCACGATCAAGCCTGTCGCAGACGCAGAACCGTGGTAACGTGCTGACGGCTTTGATGCGGATGAAAGAGTCAGGGCGAATTGATGGCTTCCATGGCCGACTTGGAAACCTGGGAACCATTGATGAGCAATACGATGTTGCGATTTCGACAGCATGTAGTGCGCTTGACAATTTCGTGACGGACACGGTTGAATCTGGACAGCAATGCATCGAATATCTACGCAGGAATAATCTCGGCCGAGGGAACTTTATCTGCCTCGATAAGCTCCGCGTACGGGATATTCAGTCAATTCAGACACCCGAAGGCGCGCCACGGTTGTTCGATTTGATCAAAGCAAAGGAAGAGAAATTCCGGCCTGCCTTCTACCACGCCTTGCAAGATACTTTGGTTGCCAAGGACCTAGCACAGGCCAACCGGATAGCATATGGAGCCAAAAGATGGCGAGTTGTCACCCTTGATGGTGAGCTCATTGATAAGAGTGGTACTATGTCGGGTGGTGGCAAGACTGTCAAACGGGGCTTGATGTCGAGCAAGCTCGTGGCCGACACGACTAAGGAGCAAGTGGTCAAGTTTGAGAGTGAGCGCGATACCCTTGAAAAACGATTCCAGGATTTTATGGAGCAACAACGAGAACATGAGACCCGGCTTAGGTATCTGCAAGACCAAATCCCAAATCTGGACACCAAAATGCAGAAAATCAGACTAGAGGTGCAAAGCGCCGAGAAAAACTTTGCTGATGCTCAACGCCGAATCAAAGAGCTCGCTAAAGAGCACCAGCCCTCCGAATCTGATGAGAACCGAAAAGCTGCTCTAGAAAAGGAAATCACGAAATTAAACAAGGAAATGACCAAGTTACGCACCGAAACCGAGGGCTTGGAAGCTGAGATCAAGGAGCTACAAGACAAGATCATGGAAGTTGGTGGAGAGAAGCTCCGAACGCAAAAAGCAAACATCGATGCTCTGAAGGAAGAGATTTCCTCGCACAACGAGGAAACTTCCAATGCAGAAGTTAGGAAGGCCAAGGCCGAGAAGTCAAAGGTAAAGCTCCAAAAAGACCATGCCAAAGCTACGAAGGAACTAGAGGCCGCCGCCAAGGACCTTGAGCATCTCGAAGAGGAGATTGAAAATCAAGGCACAAAATCGGAGTCGCTAAACGCTCAGGTCGAGGCCGGCGAGGAGGCCTTAGGGGAGAAGAGACGGGAGCTGGCATCGATGAAGGCTGAATTGGATGAAAAGACATCGGAGCTCAACGAGACGCGGGCAGTCGAGATTGAGATGCGCAACCAGCTTGAGGAGAATCAGAAGGCTCTCATCGAAAACCAGAAACGCTTGCGTTATTGGCACGAGAAACTGGGCAAACTGGCCTTGCAAAATGTCAATGATTTGATGGGCACAGCGCCTGCAAAGAAACCAAGAGAAGATGAGGCAGGCGAACCCGAAGAGGGTGGCGACGAGGGCGACGACGAAGGTGACGACGAGGAACAGAGCCCGAAGGCGGATAACTTCGCAGAGCAGCCTGAAGAGATTCCACAATTTACTGAAGACGAGCTCAAAGATATGAACAAGGAGAGACTGAAGGCCGAAATTGCCGCCCTTGAGGAGAAAACCCAGAATGTCAATGTTGATGTCACCGTGCTGGCAGAATACCGCCGTCGTGTTGAAGAGCATAGCGCTCGTTCTTCAGACCTAGCTAGTGCTGTGCAACAGCGTGATACCGCCAAGAAGCGATGTGATGATCTTCGCCGGCTTCGCTTGGAGGGTTTCATGGAGGGTTTCAGTGTCATCTCGCTCCGTTTGAAGGAGATGTACCAAATGATTACGATGGGTGGCAACGCCGAGCTGGAACTCGTCGACAGCCTGGATCCTTTCAGCGAGGGCATTCTGTTCTCAGTCATGCCGCCCAAGAAGAGCTGGAAGAATATTAGCAACCTCAGTGGTGGTGAAAAGACACTATCAAGTCTGGCACTTGTGTTTGCTCTGCACCACTACAAGCCTACGCCTTTATATGTGATGGATGAGATCGACGCTGCTTTGGACTTCCGGAATGTGAGTATTAGCCTTAATGTCTCTACTTCAGCAAAGAACCAATCTAACAAGTTCATGTGTAGGTGTCGATTGTGGCCAACTATATCAGGGAACGCACCAAGAACGCACAGTTCATCGTCATCTCTCTGCGAAACAACATGTTCGAGCTTGCCTCGCGCCTAGTGGGCGTGTATAAAGTCAACCACATGACTAAGAGTGTAACCATCGAGAACCGCGACTTCATTACCCGTAGTGCGGCAGCAAGGCCGGGTGGTGTGGCTGGCGGCGGCGGCGCTACACAGACGGCAGTCCGGTAAGGCATTGCGCGTCAGTGGGTTAACTGGAAAGGGTTTGTTAACGACTGCATGCGGAAGAAACATGTTATGACTGGACAGGGAATAAAGGACTATGAGATATTTGACGAACTATGCTGGCGGATCGGCATTGGCGGGAGCGTGTTTTTAGTGTACATACCTGTCCCTTGGTTTATTAAACCCCTGGGATACTCCAATATGAATGGTTTGGGTGTATTTGTTATACTTGAGCCAAGTCAGTGTTACCTCAACTCCTGCCCGCGGTAATGAGATGAGATGAGATGCCAGTGAGGAATGTGTTGCGTTGCATTGTTCCATGATACAAGCGTCTGTGTGCGTAATAGGGGCCAACACGCTCTGCATAACAAGATGTGTACGTCAGTCTGTGATTTATGATTGTTGGTAACACCCGGGATATCTACGTTTTTTTTATTATACGGCAATACCGCTGACTTGAACGTGATCGAGTCGACCGTGTACATAATTCACAGACATGCCTACCTACCTATAGGTATATAGCAAACAATCTTACCCGCAGAGCCGCTGTTCATGATCATATGCTTTCAGGATATCCCAGAGGAAGAAACTCACCGCTGCACACAGTCTCGTGACAGTGCCGTCACACATAATATGAAAAAGGCAGAGCCAGGGGGAAAACGGCGTATAAAAAGAATTCCAAGGACGAGCAGAGTTCAAGACCTAACCCAACCCCGACATCAAATCCCTAAATTACCATCTCTACGGAACGAGGACCAGCCAACCCAGCAAAAAGAACAGCATAAATAAATTCCCCACGAGCTAAGTATCATGAGCTCTGAAAACACAAACTCAAGCCATGCCCAAGGGGCGGAGTACGTCCGGTTAACCCCCACCCCCCGGCAGAGATCTGGACTGGGAAGGTTTCTGATTAGATTGGTGGGTCTCTATCTAGTGCCCATGACGTCGCCGTCGCCGCCGACGGCACGAATCCGGCTATCGCTATTGTTGTCACGCCGCCGCCTGAGGAGCCGCGGCCTGTGGGCGACGTCGCGGGGGATGCTTGTGGTACTTGCGGGGATGGGTGTGGGTGCGGGTGCTGTGCTGGGCGGTTGAGGCCTTCTCGGGGGACAGGGGATTCTAAAGCTTCTGTGTGAGGAAGAGGAAAGAGAGAAGAAAAGAAGAAAAGTAAAGTACAGTACAGTACAGTACAGTAAAGAGTGATGTATAATAAATAGGGAGTGTGAGAGTTGATCTTAGCTTTTCTGGGACGGGGTCGGGTTGCGTTCAGCGCCTTGTTGTTTTTTACGGGGTGAGAAATACCGGCCTGGTGGTATATTCTGGACTAGAAGCGGTGTTCTCGGCTGGTTTCTGTTAGTGAGTATTCTGTTCATGATGCGAAAATGCCGGTTTGGTGGGTTGTGGCTTTCCTATTGCACGGGTTATAACTGGTAGAGTTGAAGGGTTGATATCTGTGAGATCAGGTACAAGCACTTAACCGATAGCAGTCCCATTACCTGTTAGCGCAACCCCCCCAAAGGTCTTAATCCTCCCGAGCGATGCCGGACACCATCAACAAGCAACCATCCGAATTGGTGTAGTGGCTAACATTTGACGCTCTCATACGAGTAGCACCGTCAAGCCCGGGGTTCGATTCCCCGATTCGGAGTTAAAATTTTTCTATTTTTACCCTCCATATTTTTTTTTCACTAGGTATTCAGATTCACCTTCCTCCAAACAACCTTCCCTTTTTTTCATATTTTATCCTTCGCCTATTCATCGCGATGGTTATTAACTTAACCCCTTACAATATCCCTCCCCTTGTTGGGACATAGTGACTTTTTGCTTCTGTATCCGATGGTGCGCTATCTAGTCTCTATCTAATGTTTTACTCTCGTGCCTTACCTCACTTATCTCAAGATAAACCCGCCAGCTATCGAAAAAGGGCTCAACAATTGCTTATCCCAGATGGTCGTATTATGATGATCCAGCCCGCAAATATTCCGTGCTTATACGGAGACACGCGTGACGAGCGCGTGTGATGAACGTGTACCCGACCTCCAACCATCAACAAGTGCAAGTAAAACAACGCAGACGTTTTAGAGTCTCAGGGTCCTAGATAGGTAACCTACCCTCCCCTCGGCTTTAATCTGGGAGATATCCCCCCCTGAGCCCACCGCCTTCACAGTTTCTCCGTCTTGCGGACCATGGCCTCCGCGCAATCAACGCACCGCCAAGGACGGCGGGGAGAGTCGTCGGCGCCTCCCTCTTTCCTCCATCCGAGACGAGAGGAGGATGGGAAGCTTGTGCGGCCCCTTGCGTCGGGCGGTTCCGACGGCCCGGGCATGCAAGAGTAGTAAGTCAGACATGTTCAAGACGGGACGAGGGAAGTGACAAGCATCGTGGACCCCAGACAGCAAGGGGTGAACATGGAGCCGCAGCCCGTTAATATATTCGGTAAAAAGCTACAAGCCAAGCGATGTCCTACAATACACACAATTCTCTTATTCCCCCTCCCCTCCATCCCTGAGGCGGTTTCGGTTCGGCTAGGTAAGGTCAGAGCGTGGAGATCAGCAGGTCGACGACGGACTCCTGTCTCCCGATCGTCGCCATGTCGAACGGGCCCTGCCATGCGAACCCGTAGAAGCCCGTGCCGTTCCTCGCGTGGTCGTATGCGGACTGCGCGTTCTGCTGGATGTAGGACTTGTAGGGGTGGTCGGCCAGGACGGCGTCGAGCTTTGCCAGGCCTCGCATGAAGATGCCTTTGAATGCGGTTCCGTTAGGCTCGCATTGGTCGGGTGTTGCGCAGGCGTTTTCGGTTACTGTGGCGCTGGTTAGCAATTGTTGTGTTGGATGCGGTCCGTCGGTGGGTATTTCAGATATTGTAGGCAGGCAGGCAGGGTGTCTTGATCATAGCCCGCGTGGAGGCTGCGATACTCTTGGGGTGAGGAAAAGATGAGGATGGGAATGACTTACAGATACCATTAGGCGAGAGCGAGGTGTCTTTAATCACAGCGTCGGCAATGCTCTTCGCCGTGTTGACGTACGAAGCATCACCGGTAGCGACGGAGAGCTGCACGAGACCAGCGAGGATAACGCCTTGGTTGTACGTCCAGACAGGTTGTCCGTTATTGACACATGCACTGTCGTCGGTCAGCCCGTCGTTGATGAGTCCTGCGCCGTTGATCATGCCGGTTGCGTTGAACCATTTCCACTCCTTGAGGGCCTGGTTGAGGTAGTATTCGTCACCGGGGATGAGATTGTGCAGCGTGGCCGTGAGCTCGAGGTATAGTTCGTTGGAGATGGCGTTATGGTATGTCCTACTAGGGATATTCCATATGAGGCCGCCCCCGCAAGTCGTGGTGTTCCAGTAGCTGTACATGTAGGCCTCGTCCTCCTTCGCGATGTCAAGGTACGTCGAGTTCCCAGTGACCTGGTATAGAGACGTCAAGGCCAGAGCCCACCACCCAGTGTCGTCGGTGCTGTCAGCACGGAAGTCGCCGCCGCCCATCGGCCACCAGGTCAACGGAGCACGCTGGGTTTCCACCGTGTAGGCGGCCATGTCGACGTAATCTGTAGTCCCAGTCGCGAGCATGTACTCGGCAACGGCCCGTAGGGCAACCCCGCTATGCCACCATGGCCCCGTATCCCAGAGTCCAGTCGTCCGGTTGTAGAAACCGTTCATGGCGTTCACGGCCGCACTCACGGTACTCACATCGCCAGGGCCCTCCGCAGCGACGCCTCTCACCGCGAGGAAAGGCACGAAAATCGAGCCTAGGAATGGCCAAAGCCATGAGAAAAAGAATGTTGGCGCAGGAGAGAGACGCATCGTGAAGAAAGGAGCAAAACGCGCATGGAATGAATGAATGCGTAGGGCAGAGAACAAAATAATAAATAACGAATGGAATGCTCACGGTCTCGTCTTATACAAGAGCGAGAACGCGAACGTGAACGTGGACGTGAACGTGAACGAGAGGACGTCGAGGTGGAAGAGATTCCGCCGAAAAACACGCGGTAACCCGATGACCTTGGCGACGGCAGTCTTCGCCTCGAGGAATTCGGCGCATGATGCGGGGTTCGATATAGACGCCCTTTTTTTGGTCTCGGCCACGCTCGTGCCCGGAGAAAGGCCGCACGCGAATGGCCCCAGGTGGCATGGCGTCGGATTGTAATAAGTTCAATAGCGAGCAGGTAGTGGCCGGTGATGAGGACAGGCTGACGTGACGATAGGGTCAACGCAGTAATAATAGACGGGCATGCTACGATCTCAGCCGGGATCACTGACGCAGGTCCGAAATGATCAATCACCAACCATCTGCCCGTCGCCGTCTCGGCCTGCTGCGCTGCTCCACCTATCGAGGTACCTGTTGATCATTCCCTCCCCAGACTCCCCATTTGCCCGCGGGCCCTGCTCCAGAACCACGATGCGGCGTGTCCACCCCCGGGTCGACTGAGGCAGGATGGGTGGGTGGAGAGGGACAGGCCGCTCTCCATTCTGGCATCCGGGCGTCATTTCTCGGGTTCACGTGCGAAGCCGCAGGGATGGGCGCTGCATAAACGAGCGTATGTACTTTCTATACGCGCCCGGTTATGCCATTAACCACAACAGCGCCTCGATGTTTATTTTTCATTTATTTTTAATTTTTTTATCCTTTTCTTTTCTCCCCCTTGTATGTACTACTAGACAGATAGTAGATAGGTAGTAGCATTGTCGGCCAGCGCCCGAGGCAGGAGACACGACAGAACAAGAGATGGGGAGAATCGGAAAGAAAGGCCCGGCCCGATTTATTACTTCTGCATAAACAGCTCTCGTATTGATCATGATATGTCTATCTTTTAAAGCTCTTCTAAATTTTTATATTTATATTTATAAGTTGCGCTTCCGGCACACTGAAGCTGCCAGGCTCTGACATGATAGCTCTCGTGCGGGCGGAGGGTCTATCTAACCCATAAAGGCTTCATGGAGATGGGAATCTCGTCCCGGGAACTGCAAGACATGTGATGGCAATTAAGTAGATAGGTAGAGATGTATAGCCCCATACTCAACTACAAGATCGAGAAGAAAAGAAAAGACCAGAAAAGGGGAGGGGTATATCGTGTGCCCATATTACAGCCCTCTGCTACTATGCAGTGTAACTTTCGCATTAACGTCGTCGCACGTCTTCCATTACTGAATACATTACTCATGTCGGTCTATAGTATCGCGGCTCGTCAAAGACGTGATAGTGGTGACCTCGTACTCCCTTGCCCCTGAACAGCGCAGGGAACTTCCAGCCCTCGGGGATTTCGTCCTCTTCCACCCTACGATTCCTTGCATCCGCATCGTCATTCATCGCTGCAATATTTGCTTTTTCTTCAGCACCCCTCGGTATGACGAATTTCGCAACTTGCAGCTCCGTATCCGTGATGGTACCTCTGGATACCCTTGCATACCCTACCCGCTGCAGATATTTGTACAGAATGTACTCGCACCAACGGTCCCAGTCGCTGGGATCCACATCATGCATGCCCGACGTTTCTGAGACATAGGTATTATAGTTTCCTTTGAGCGGCTTTGTGACGAGGTAAGAGAGGAGAACTGAGGGTCGCGATGACGAACCCATCAGTTTGGATAAGTATTCTGCCTGCAGCCGGCGGTCTTCGGGGTCCTCTTCCTGGCCGGAATGGAAGACAAAGACGTCGACGAGTTCTCCGTACACGTCAAGAGTTGCGTGGATGGCCGGTGCGAGCTCGCCTACCGGAGATGGCAGCAGATGGTGGGTGGAGTTGAGAATGGGGAATTTGGACAGAAGCGCCGCACCCCAGGTATGCTTGTTGGGGCCCGGCCCATAGTCCACATACATGCCTAGCTCCTCGGCAAGAATTTGGGTCGTGTCGCGATTCCCCATGATGATCCGTTGGAGATCCGACTCCACAAGGCCAATGACATCAACCTCTAGTTCCTTGAGTAAATCGCGGATGCGGTATTCGGACGACCACATATCATTATCGAGGGAAAAGTGTATCGTCCATATTCCGGCTGTCATAACTCTCGACTCTTCGTGATATGGTCGGTAATCATTTGTCGGGAAACGCATATACGCCGTGGCTAGAAAGAATATGTTGATGATGCCAAGGGTGAAAGTATAATATTTGCGATGGTGGCCTTGGGCCGCTGGCTTTTGAGTCTTGTAAGAACGAGCATTTTGCGATGTCAAATTGAACACGCCAGCACCGATGAGAAGCATCGTGGTGATCATAATCCAATCAGTGTGCTCGCGCACCAACGGTCCCCCGGGGACAAAAGCATATGCCACGACCCATACATGGAAGAGAAGCATAAAATTGTAGACCAAATATCCCAATCCGAATGTAATGGCTGGGCTCTTTTGCGAGGCTGCCGTGAGTAGGGGAACCGATACGGCCGTGAAATAGAAGGCAACAATTAGGGCTCCATAATACCCAAACCAATTCGCGTAAAGCGTGAGCATGGTAGCTCCGATAGAGCCGAAGCCAAAAGCGGTCCAGGTACAAATCAGTCTCCGTTGGTATATCCCGGCAAGGAGGCCGGCAGTCATGGCGGCCATGGTAAACCACCCGTGAGGAGCAGAGAGCGGTCCACGCACGGGATATCCTTCCCACACCCAAAGTATCATGGTGCTGGTGTCTGAGAGTAAAGAGTGTAGGCCA